CTTTAAAATCAACTAATTTTAACCTATAAACTTTGTAATGTTGTTTTTTTTTATTTAATGTTTAAAAAGTATTGTTATGATACATTAACCTCTCATTACTATTATCTGTTAAGCAATAAACTATACTATATTATATCTAAACTTTCACATAAATAATAATATAAGTTGTCATAGATACATCAATATTGTAGTGCAATAACGAATCATTGTTCAGAATTAATTTTATAAGATAACGTATAACAAATAACACAAATCAATTTAACAAAGAGATAATAATAGCGTTTCTGACACCTCTTGCATATTTATGTAACTATAAAAATTAACAAAATAGGAATATAAAAGGGACCAAAAAAGGCTTAAATATCTGACAGTATATTCTCATTAATCTCTCAGTGTTCTCTCGGTATACTCTCGCGGCTCATTGATTTCACTTATCTAATTTATATGCAAGAAGTGAACTGCACACTCAAATTTAATTCAAATAAACTAGACGACTTATATTAATTTCTAAACACTCACAAGAAACATCGAGGTACATAATACTAATATTAATTAAAACGATAAGGTTTAAATTTGATCATTTCTTTTGGGTACATTTTTGACGAAAAAGAATTAAGCAAACTAATATTTTGCAATTACTACGTCTTTCATTTATTGATTTTTTTTTTTTTATAACATAAAATATAGGATAATTAAATTATTCAGAAAAAGTGACACGAGATCAATGACGTGGACTGAATAAAAAAAGAAACAGAGGACATCGATAAGTCGCGATGAGTAACCCAAATGATTGAAACGATGACGACTACAATGATTTGATTTGACGACGAGAAATATCGAAAGAAGGAAATGGGACCGGATTAAGACAATAGGGTCGTCAAGATGATCCCGTCGTTATAAGATCACCAAAGTAAATTTTTTCATTTTCAAATTATATAAATATAAATATATGTACACAATAAAATAAAACTTACAAAATAAATATAAAATAAATTGACTAATTGATACGAAATTTTCGTGTGAATAAAAATGTATTTTAAAATTTTACTTTTATACTCACTCTACTCGTATTTCTATAAACGAATAACAACATTATATGAAGCCATATGAAATAAAAAAACACTATGTGTGTTAACAATTGACCGTTGACACGTACAGCTAATGAATGAAAAAACTAGCGTCCAAAGTCACACACAAATGGACAACAAAGGAATAAGTTATAATATGCCACAATCAAAAAACATAAAAAAAACTTGAAAAAATGTACTTTTCACGTATAGGTTTTATGTTATACTAAACTATATATATAGTCTTTGTAAAATATATCACACGTCACCATTTTATAATATTTGTATTGATACCTGAAAAAATTAATTACTAAAATACTTCAACAGAAGTTTCTGTGTTTATTAATTGCTGCTTACTCTTTTCTCCCAAACAAAGCGTTTTGATTGACGGGCTACACTAAAGCACTTTTAGTCCGCTGTTATACATTCCTTGTTGTTTCACTTTAATGTTGTTTATTAAAGCCTTTGGTTACGTTTTAACAACGCAATTACAGACTATACGTCGACTTCTAAAATATGTCTTTGTTGTACAACATCACATGAGTGAAACATATTCCTTTGAGATATTTTAATTGGCTTGATTTTTTCCATCGAAATACCAAACTTGATTTGAATAATATTGAAATTATATTCAACTCGAAAATATTTCCATAAACTACGGTTGAAAGTAAATAAAACAATTATCTAAAACATTTTCTGGATTTGTTAAATGGGTTATTAAAATTGATAATTATTCTTGCTCTTTAGACGATTTCCACAGAAACACACCTACGATAGCAAACATGTATAATTCGGACATCACGTTCAAAGCTAAAATAATTGATCAACAAAAAGTTCAAGAGACTTTTAAGTCAGAAGGATTATAACAATTCTCATCACGTTTTAATTTAACGTGCAGTTCAGATGACATAACGAACCTGCCAACATCGTTAAAATTAAGTTTAATTGTGTACCGGCTTAGAGATGTGATGGATTCGTTTTATTGATTACCTATTCGTTAGCCATCACGTCATCATTGGCCACAGTAAATTGTTTTTATTGTTATAGAACATTAACGAAAGTTTGAAGTTTTATCTCTTTCGAAAAACTTTACTAAATAATAACAATTTACTTCGGAAGATTTATACTTGTCGGCCGAACAGTTTATAATTAACATCATTATTTTTAAACCACCGACTCATTTTAACTAATGCTTATACGAATTTGAACGCATCAACAACATAATCGATAAAACACATGCTTGGGGCTTAGCGATCACTCGGTTTTTTAGTGCTTTGTCGATCCTAAGAACTAGGGTAATTCTCCTCTCGAATACGCGTGTCATCAGCTCTTTAACACGCGTATTATTAACATGGCCGTAAACGATGCGCAGAGCATTCCGTACTTCCTGTTTCGCGATACATTATATCATTTGGAACATGTCGAAGATGATTATCAAGATCTCCGGCGTCGAGGCACACAGGATTTCCACGAAACGTGTGATACGTTCTCAAGACGATCGGCATACCGTTCCACGTGTGTTGTGCACGGCGAGTGGGGGAAATTCGATTTTTTCCTCGCCATTTATTTATTGTTTATTGAGAAAATATCTGGCAAGGGGAGGCGGAGTGTCGGCAGCCGGTGAGTTATACACCTTCAATATCGAGATCGATAAGACGCGCGGGGGTAAAAGGCAGCGGACAAACGACAGAGGGGACAAACGGCAGCCAATCATAATCATTATCGTCGAGTTTAACGGCGCTCCTTGAACGACTTTTACTGACGGTGAGGGGCACGCATGGAGAGCCTGAGGAAGGTCCGCGTGACATATTTATGGGCAAGATCCTTCCGGCAAAAGCGCTCTCGGTGACATTTTCCTGGGCCGCGCCTGGTTTTGATTTTCCTACCACTCGCCATCGCTCCCGCAGCGGCCGCCTGGAAACGTTAACGACTTTCCAACGGTGGCAACGGCGGCTCATTATTAGAAAACTCGACCTCACCCCACCTCTCGGCCGTCGCCAAACCCGTAACCTCCCAACGCCCCCTCGTGCTTTATTGTCCGGAATTAAATTCGCACATGACGGACTGCCGTTGTATCTGTAAGGCCAGAGCTTAATGCTTACAAGAGAAAGAGAGCAAAAGAGCCGGGTAGCATAGGAATTGAGGGAGAAAAAAAATTAAAAGCCAAACTTAATGGCCGTCCCCTTCTTCTACACGTTGCTTTTTGTCTCTGTATACCACTATAGTTGTCACCCATAGAACCATCCACCCGCCCTCAGTCCACAATGTTTTTGTTTATTACACCTTTTTTCCGGCCAACAAAATTATTGTTTAAAACGTTCTCCCAACCTGTCATAAATAATGACGACGACTGCTGAGCTAAGACAATGTAATTTCAGCGGTATAATTATACATGTATTTTTCACATTAGTTCATCATGCCAAGAAAAATTCTCAACAAATTTCCAGTTTCTTTAAGATATGTCGGCTTATTTTTGTACTTGTCTGATTAAGAACAAAATCTACAACGAGAGAAATTATTTTTTATAAAATCTCAGTGTTACATTGAACCAATGAAATCATTCAAAGTTCCTCGATCTAAATAAACATCTTGTAATTAAATTATACTTCGTTCATTATAGTAATACAATACACAATTTCAATAATCTGTATAGGAATTTATTGAAGTTTCAATGTTGTTCAATATGTATAATTCCATTTGATTTAATGTGGTTTTACTATTTCCACGACAATAAAATTGAAATAAACTTTTAATTTCATAAATGAGTAGAACATATACATCATTTTAAATAATTCATCAATTTTACAGGACCTGTTTAATATTGCTCGATTAGAAAGAATACTATTTATACTGTAATAAAGAACTCAAATTAATATTGCTATGAAAGTTAAGGGTAATCGCCGGTGTATTGTGCGTAGGTGTAATTTTGTTGCAGTTGGAAGTTAATCATCCAAATAGTTTTCAAAAGGACAATTTCTTTTTATTTTATTTTACCGTGACTTTGGAGAGTTCTTTGGAGACTGGATCACAGCTTAAGTCAATCATCTATTTTATGATATAGTTCTGGGTTAACCTTTACACAGAATCATTTTAATGAAAGCTATTTTTTCAGCAATCACAGTGAGCTAATCGATGGGAAATTTCAAGTATTATTTTTGTAGGAAAATATCATACGTTAGTAAGATATTGACCTGCGCAGTAACTTTTTACTAACACACTTTTTATTTTACACGTCTAGATATAAAAATGTTAATAACTTTTAAAATATTAGCCCAAAACTAGTTATCGATCATTGATTTTCTCTGATATTACCTAATAAATAAGCTAGTTAATCATGTATTCTCCCAATTTATAAGAGATAAATATAAAAATACTACACTGTTGATCAATTGAGAAAAGTAAATGAAAAACAAGTTATCAATAATAATCAATTATTTATAAATAAATTATCAGTAATTTTATTTTTCGATTAAATTACTGATTCACTCTCTCTCTCTATATATATATATACATAGAGAGAGAGAGAGAAGCATATAGAATACGACTTGTTTATTTATATACTTTGATGTTAATATAAACACAGTTGTGTAGCATTTAATGTCAAAGAAACCATAATTTCAGTCTTCCTTACAGCTGTAAAATTAATATAAAGATGTGAACAGCGTCAACAATTTAAGTAGCAATAATAACTAATATGGCTAAAAAATTCTGGGTGTATTGCTCAGTAAGATGTTTTTTGGTCACTTTTCATTATAAAATTATTTTATAAAATATTTGTCAATTTTAATTTTTACAAAAAGTTTTTATAATGAAAAATCACCAATAACTCGATGACATTTAGTATTAGATGATATGTTTAGAGAATATTTTAACTAAAATACCAATAAATTATCTGACTAATATGAAAACAAATGTGTATTAATTGTACAAATGCAATTAATATGTGTTATACAACTCAATGATCAAGTATTTCCACTTTCAACACAATTTTGTGTTTATAAACAATCGATAGGTGTCACGAGGAAAATGTTTTTCATATAATTCCCGTGTCAGAAACCATTACGAAAATGACATTACAGTTTTTTAACATTCTCGTTTGTATTTGTATTTTATTTTAAAAAATATCCGTCCAGCTTGTCTAACGTAAATAATTGAAACTGCACGCGACTTGTCCGAGTCCGTTGATGCGAACATGACAGATTTCGGCCAAACCTTCGACCGCTGCCAAGTTCGACGACGACAAGGGTTTCTTATCCGCCTACAACAAAACGTGGGACAGACAAGTTGTCGTCTCAGCAACAGCAGCAATAATAATAATAATAATAATAATAATAACAGAACGAACCGTTCAGTCGTGTACTTAAGCGAAACGTTAATCTATCACAACCAGACCATTGAACCAATGATCGATTTTCTGCAGTTGGATTTCATGATGTCACTGCAATTTACTAGATGTATTGTACAGAACTTCAATTCATGTCTTCAAACTGGCTGACTTGACACGTTACATTTGTATGTAAAAAGCGAATTCAAAATTTCATCAACTAAAAAAAAAAACAATAGTAGGAACAACAATCTGAAAAATTAATTTATAAGACCTCGTAAAATATTCAATCTTTCACTTTAGAAACATATCTTTTCTATGTTATTTACTTATTATTATCTATATTAATTTGACCGGAAATTTCATAAAACAACAATTCTTAAGTTTCCCTGATGTTTAATGATTGCAGTCTTGAAATTTATAGATGAATTTTAAAACTAAATTACTTTTTGCTAGAAAAGACATTTGATATTATATGTAGAATTAGGTATACTCAAAAAGGTTTAACAGAAAGTTTCATATTAAAATTAAAACATATTTTTTATATTTGAAACGTAAATTAGTCTTATTATGCTAATATGTTAAAAATATAGTAAATAGATTTTATATCTAAAACTAAAAAATAAACTTTTAGTAATTTTTTTTGAAAAATCATTAAAAATATTTCGGTCTTTAATGTTCATTATAAATAAATATAATGTGGAGTGTCAAAAATACAAAATTATTAAGTACATAAAATGTTATATTTTTTAATTTAAATTTATGGAATGAAATTCATAAGTAACGAGCGCCACGTTTTTTATTTAAAAAAAAACCTTTTTTGAATAATTAATTGAATTTTCGCCTTTTTTTAATTATTTTCTTTTTATAAATTTTGTATGTAGATTGTAATGTTCTCATAAAAAATAAATGTTTGAGTTATCATAAGCAATACGTTTGATTTAAAATCTCATATCAAGGTTACCCCAGCGCTATCTGCCCATCTTTTCATTTTTATTGTCCTTTAGGAATACTTGCTCGTGTTAGATTTCAAATTAAATATTGTACATTACTTTTTAATTACAATATAAGTATTTTATTCTTAATTTTTCGATAAAATATATATTGCATTAGAATATTAATTTAAGTAGTACCATTATATGTTTTGTATTGATTTAGTAATAATCATCTAAAATATTATAAATATATAACAAATTAACAACAAAAACTATAAATATTTACATTTAAGTTTTTTTTTATTTTGAAGTTATTAAACTTACTTTTAATTTTTTGTTGGGATTTGTCAAAATGAGTCTGGTGGTCAGCGAAATGCTCTTTAGGAAAGTACAAGTACATTGAATGGAAAAACAGCTTTTACGCCAGCAAACGCATGGCGTTAGACGTGAAATGGTAAAAAGAGAGAGAGAGAGGGATGAAGAGATGAACGTTATAGGTCTTGTAAGCCGGCAGAGTAGAGTGGCTGCTGTATATCACTACTGCTCCGATCCTTTTAGTGTAAGCGAATAGGCGGTCGGTGCAACATTATAGTAAAGGGGGCAACAAGACCGTTATCCCTCCAACACCACCACCACCGGTCTCCTAGTGCAAAGGCCTAATTAGCCATAAACTCTCTGATTTATAACGCGGGAGAAAATGCAAATATGAAATATGAAAATGAAGATGGGTATAATAAAAGTGATATACGGGGCTCTGCAGAGCCATTTCGAGGAGGCGCCCTCCGGAGTCACTCGTCAGCTTTATGGGGCCGTCCGTCATTGCCGTGACAGTTTACATTGCTACCCTTCGCGTATACCACCCCCGCTCGGTCTTCCGCCTCCTCTGACTCGTCATAGTCGTACTACAGTGAAACACGATCGTATATAAATGCGCGGCGGTGGTGGTATGCCGAATGGATATAAGCATTTTTTTTTATTATTATTATTATTTATTTATTTCGTAAACCCCCCGTTAAGCCCTCATCCTCTACGACGAACCCTTGAAACCGATATTTTGTAATTATTACCACCGCCGCTGCTTTCAGTAAAGAATATAATCAAAATGCGAAAACGCCTCCCTGCGCACACACACACAAACGATTATGTAATAAAACCCAACGCCGTCGGTACTTACAACAAATTATTTATTTTTATGGCTGTATACAAAAAAGAAAAACAATGACGAAATTTCAAAAAAAGGACGTCTTCAACTACAAGGGTAATTGCTCCATACATTATTCACGTTTTAACGTAGACAATGAACACTATTTGTTAAATAGAAATAAATACATTTATGATAGAATTTTATCAATATTAACCAGTGTTCGTTTGAAATAAAATGTTTAATTGATATTAAAACACACTCGAATACTATTTAAAGAACATTATAATTTATTTTGAAAGACTAAACAAAAAATTTGATTTTACTGTTTATTGACTGTAATGGCCATCTAACCAAAACGTACCAAATTAAAAAAAATAATTACTCTTTTTGTTTATGTTACAATTGTTGTATATTCTTCGATGGTTTTCAAAACCATACAAACACAGCCTTACTCTCCTGAATCTTAAAACACAATTTTAAGAACTCTTTAGTTTATTTTAAGCAATGTAATACTTTAATGCCTAACCACCTTCAGCCATAGAAATGATGTTAGTGCAATATTATGACGCACTCATTTTTCCAAAAGAAAATCATTTATAAAATTATATTAGAGCCACAGAAAATAGAAAAACCTTTTCAATCATTAATAAATATACATCCAAACTTGAAAAAAATTCTCATTAAAATTCGTTGAAAATTAATTGAAACTTTTAAATCTAGAGACATCAAATTTAGAAAATATCCCATACAATATATTTATTTTAGACATAAAATTTCATTGACTAAACCTTTTTTTTTTTATTAAATATTTTTTATTTTTACTCGACCATTCAAGTGAAAATTATGGTAAGCATGCAACGAGATATAGAATTTGATAATAAACATAATATTTTACACGTGTGCATTTTAATCATATTTTCATTGTTCTTGACTTTATTATTCAGATATACAAATTTTATAGTTTACTTACTTTAATCGAAACACGTGTACTTAGAAACATTACATCTTATGTCAGTACGCAAATCGTTACATTATTCAAACTCTGTTTTGTTGGGCTACTAAAAACTAATGGTGACATAAAAGTGCTATCTTTTATTGTTCAATATCATGATCATAAGAACATAATGCTAAAACAAATCAGCCTAATAACTATAACTGAGCAGTTCAACTACTCACAGATATATTATTTAATCATGAAAAAAAGCCATTATGTTTACAATTCGATAACAGGGTAATTTTGACACGACTAGAACTCGACTATCTAAATTAAAATAATCCGAAGCACACAAAACGGTTATAATTTGTTATCTTTCCGTATTTGTATTTAATTGTTTTTTCCTACTCATGTTTCTTTTTCTCTCGCTTGATATCCGATATCACTATACAAAGCTCTCGAGGTTCAAGCATAACGAAGACTCTATGTGCAAAAAAAAAACTCTATTTGGCACGTTGACAAGACAACCTGCGCTTTTGTGTCGACTAAAACCGTTCGAAAAACCCCGGCAGGGTTTTGACGCGCTTTTCCACCACAGTACTACACAACTACTCGTTAAAGGGCCACACAACAAATATGTACACGACGTTATTTATAGGGCGATAAAAAAGGATTTGTCTTTTTTTGCCACCCTTTTTGCTCTTCATCCGATATATTATCTATAGATATAATTTGGAACGGATTTACAACTAAAAAAATACTGTTACAGCCAGTCAATTACCACCGGCATTCAATGACACTGACAGGATTATATACAAGCCAAAGGGTTGCCTAAACTTTTTTTAAAAGAGAGTTTTTGTCCATTTGTTCAATATCACTTGTCAACTAGAGCAAAATGCCTAATGTTATTTAAACTAAAGTAGTCTCAATTTATTTTTAATTTAATCTTTAAATTGCTTACGTACTTAAGTTATACGACTGCCCAAAGTAAGTTCAAACTTGGATTTATTTTATGGGATTTTCATTACTGTTAATTACCAAATATACCATTTCAAAGATAGACAAATTTTTCAAATAAATTTAATTATGAAATTCAGTTATAAAAGGTATATTTTTAACTAAAGTGTGATACTTTTTCTTTAAATTAAATAATAGTTAAGTTATGCTGCTGGTCATTTTAGAAATATACACAGTCAGACACTTGATCCTTCAGTAATACTGCGCTAACACAATACAATTTTCACGGACAAGCTTAAAACAATAAAAACCAAATGTTACAAAGTCGTTACTGTTATGGGCTCTTTTGCTTTAAACTTCTAAGGAATCAATTTAATAACCCACGAGACTAAAATGATAATCAGACAATAGACAATTTATGAAATTGTTTTTCATTTCACATTCTTTAATTCAAAAACGTTACATTTATATACTAAATATTTATCTGGTGTTTTTTTTTCACCGAAAAACTACATTTGCCACCCGTACAAGTATTTTTGTTCCGACGATTACTATAGATTTCTAACATAAAATCTGTGAATTAACTGAAACCTTACTCTACATTTATGTTATCTTTTTTACATACAAATTTAACTTTTAGGTCATTTTTTCATTCCTAAGAAAAAAATTTATTTATTTCTTATTATAACGCCTAAAAAGGCAAAAATACAGTACTAAAATAAATATTTACAATAAAAAATATACAAAATTTAACAAATTAATATACTTAACAGTTCAGGGTATGAAGCTAATTATTCAATAATTTAAATTCTTCGAATAAAACCCAACATACGTAATGCTTTACCATATATATGTGTGTGTGTATGTATTAATCCATAAGATTAATAAAAAGTACAATCCTAAGTTTTTTTATATTAGATGCTCTTAAAATACACCAATTTGATAGACACTTTAAATTCTCTTGAAGAGTAAAAGAATCATCTCTGATATTAATTACCATATATATTTTTAAATCAACAGCAAACAACAAGGAATTACTACACAAAAACTTATTACTCGAGGTCAACTAGACGATGTTACTTACTTTAATAATTTTAAATAACCTTTTATTAAATTTAACTTGTTGCGTGCGAAAAGTATTGTATGATCTTTTGCAAAACAACAAAGAAATTTCTTTGAATTAGAAATATTATCAATTATAAATGAATAATAAACTCAAAAATTAGTTACCGCAAATTTTGCTCTTCTAA